AAAATTACAGTTACACACACGATTAAGGGAGCCTACTAATTAGAATACCGTTGCAGCCGCATAAAGAAGCGCATAGACAAAAGACGTCGTGCGGCAGAAAAAATCCTAATTACTGAATTACTAAATTCCTATCTAATGCGAAGAAGCAAAAAGAACCATTTCTAGAAAGAAAGTCCGAATTTCCGAGAGCCATCGGGGCTCGACAAAATTTGAAAAAGACTCAAAAGAAAAATTTAAAAAGAATGAAGCAATTTTCCGCGCGATGTCCGCGCCCAAAAGATTGAAACCGAAACGAAAGAAACGACGTCAATATTTATTAATCGCGCGCGCGGTGGCGCGCCAGACATCCAGCCGACCAATCAATCAACCGGCCGTCCCAGGACACACCCAGCTCCGAACCTAGTCATTCGAAAGGAAGCGACGAAAAAGACGAAAAAGCAAGGAGACTGATGCAATTTTCCACCGATCCCGATCTCTCGTAATTGGCCCAACCTTCCCAGCTTAGGACCCCTCGTTGCAGCCGCACATTACAGAAAGTGGTCCGTTACAGCTTGTACCTGTTTGTGTCGTGCAGCAGGGGCAAGGCAACTCGAAAGTTTTCCTTCCTTTTGCAGTTGTCACCCCGTCTGCCCGATTGCAATTTGACCCTCGTGATTGGTATTGGTTGGATCCGGACAAACCTCGTCGGGTCTGCTCGGTCCTTGACTTCTCTGTCAAGTTCTCGTATAACCTTCTGCTGCCTAGAGTGGATTTTTTTGCTTTGGTCTGTAGGCGTTGGACAATGTTGGGCCGCTTGCGGTCCCTGCAGTATCCGGATTTCGTTCACAGACTCGGTCTCTTTTGACGTGTGCTACTTACTTTGCCTATTCCAAGGCATGCAGGCTTCTTGTGGCTTGTCATGCATACTGCGGTGCCTACCGCTGCGTGGGTCTTCAGAAGAGTAGCCCGCGGCGACCCGTTCTGTAAACTCTGCCACGGCGAGTATCGGATCGAAGATTTAACCCACCTTTGTGTGAGTTGTTCATTGGTTGAAGCTTTTTGGGATTGGTGGAGGAGGGTTGCTCCCCTCTCCGGGCCTCTGGCTCGAGCCTGGACGACAAATGTCATTCTGCTTGGTTCTCTCGTAGCAGACTTTTCTTTGGTAGATCGGTATGTCATGGAGGCAACACGTGGGGCTTTGCTCTGGACGATTTGGAAGGCCCGAAATGAAGTTGTTTGGCGTGGGGATACAATTACATTACTGGAATTGCAGCTCAGCCTTAAGCAAGCACTTAGATTGGTGTTGCGTATTGACTTGCGTAGGAAAGTTGTTATTTCCTCTTCGCCGGGTAAGGGCGCTCTTTCGTTCCAAAAGCACTGGGCAGTGCACCCCTCTTTGGTTACAATGGATAGAGTGACTTGCTCTTTTGCCTTTGGTCCCTTTCTGCAGACTGGATAGCAATCCCTATTGCGTTTGGAGTTCCCTACATTTTTCTGGGCCTCATGCTCCTCGGTAGATGAAGTTTGTTGTGTGTGTACCAGGAGACTTAAGGACAGGGGCTCCGTGCTCCTGGTGGAGCAGGATAACCTGTCTGTCCTCGGAGAACTATTGATGTATAGCCTTGGGCACTGGGCACTGTGTTCAATGGGAAAAAATAATTTTGGATTAAAAAAAAAAAAAATCCACGTTCACTAAAAAAAAACAAAAAAAAATCCCAATCTACCCCCTCTTCAAACCACCATTATCAAACAACCCTAATCTCCACTAACCAAGGTTACGAAACGTATTCGCAGTCCGTCAGGGATGCGCTTTCCCCCCCTGAGACATTCAACGTTCAACGTCAATTTCAACGTCGGTGGGCGTCGGGAGGGTGGGTATTTGAGGTTTTGGGGCCTTGCAAGGGCCAGGAACGTGTAGGACCGGTAGCTGCGAGTAGGAGGCCGAGGAGGCCGCAGTCCTTTTTCGAAATTGAAACGGTGCAGGTCCTACAAGTTGTAATCGAATACAGTCTGTACCCTTTCTATTTGGATTTCGAAAACAAAAACCTATTGTATTCCGATAAAATTACTTCTTCTTTTTGTTGGAGGTCAGCGCCTGCCCTTGTGCTCCCCGCCACTGACATGCTGCATGTTGCAACTCTCTCTCTCTCTCTCTCTCTCTCTCTCTCACACACACACACACACACACACACACTTACATACATGATTTATTTATTTATTATTATTATTATTATATGTATATATATATATATATATATATATATATATATATATATATATATTTTCAATGGATGTAAGTTGAAATCAGTCAATAAAAGATTAGTTAAAAAATGGGTATACACATATATATATACGTAAAAAGGGTATTTTTCCTGCCCGGTTCTAGGATTGTTTGAGCAGATTAATGACACCAGACTTGATACCCTCGGTACATATCCATGATAGTCGGGTTATAGGCTTGAAAAGTTACCTTAAGTACCTTAATTTTTCCCAGCTGTTCTGCGGTGATGGGTTGCATTGGAGTTTTTTTGAAAGGAAAGTTAAGCCAGGATGATGATGATTTTTTTTGGGCCCCGAGGTGAAAAATAGTTGCCGCCATGATGCAAACAGCCGGTATCAATGGTGCTCACCGCGAATATTGGAGGCCGCCATGTGGGCTAGATCCCACATAGGTTGGATGAGGCACCTTAATTAGCTTGGGCCTGCCTCGGGTGAACCCTTCGGCTCTGGGCCAATGATGAGGATGATATCTTCAAAAAATAGGCGCGAATTGTGACATTAGTGTTGCGCCTGTTTGAATATCGGTTGACGATCCAATATTTAACGAACAATGCAAAGTATTCAAACCCTCTTCGTTGATGAGTTCGGACGGCGACTCCCGTGTTGCGTACTTGCTGCAAGGGATGCTCCGCTCGTCCCTCGACCGCTGAACCTGGTGATGCGCCTGCTCTGATCTATGCCATTTCCTTCTCTCTCTCCCTCCATCTCTTTCTCTCTCTTTTTCTCCCGCCCCCTTTCCCCCTCCTTCTCCTTTCTCCCCCCCTCTCTCTCTCTCTCGTTGATTTTCCTGTACAGTTGCTGGCACGTTATTTTGATTCATCGATTGTGGAGCGCAAATATGAGTGGTGGTCCGGCCTCCTCATCCAATCGTCCACCGGTAATATGAGTGGTGATAGCAGCATTCGTCGTGATGTCTTCATTGATAGTACTGCTTTTAGTAGGTATCGGTAATAGCATAGGTGGTGGGGATGTGTGCTGGGTGGGTGACCTTCGGAGCCACTCGGGGATGAATGAGGTTATGGTCTTCATGGTTCTGATGTATTTTGCTTTTTTAGCAGTAATCACGGTGTTTCTCGTAATCAGCGATGTGCAGATACCTCGAGTGGCTTTCTATGGCTGTGCGGGGTACGGACGGTGGATGGGCTCTACAGAATGAATGGGTTGGATGAGAGTTGTTACTCATTTTAGGAGGATTATGATTGATCGACCCTCGGAAGCGATAAAGTTGCGAGTTAAACTGGAGTGCGGATCTTCTGTGCAAACATGTCTTTCTAGAGGGGGTTCCTGCATGTTTTTCTGCGGTTACGGTGGAGTGCATGGAGTAGGAAGCCTTTCTTGTTCTTCCGTGATTGGAGAGTTAATTTCCCCCCCTTTTTTTTAGTGGCTACCTTGGCTCTCCACGAAGGGATTGGATCTTTTGCCAGGGCTGTAAGTGCCATGAATTTTCCACAGTTTCTCGTTGTTATGGCAAAGGGTAGCGAATTAATGATGCGGTGGGCTGGGTTTCGCGGGGCAGGTAGACGTCACTCACGTATTGGGTATGGACATCGCCGGAGGAGTGTCGCTGAATGATTGAAGAACCCAGGCGTTCTGGTGGGAGTAGAGGTTCGGCTGCTCGGTAAAATGGGTGTATAATTTTTTGGATTGATATGGTGTCTTGGTCGTTGCTAAATATGTGTGAATTTTTGTGAATCATCTGGATGGGGGAAGATTTTTTGAGGGTTATTCTGCTGGTGATCTCTTGTGTGTATCGATCGCTGTTTCCGTCCTCCTCCTTCTTCCCCTTACATCCCATATCTTCATCCTCATCTATGAATGGGCTATTCCCTCCCTCTCCCATGCCTCTCGTAAACTTTCCCTCGTAGCTCTCGTCTTTCTGTATGATCCTGCTCTCTCTCTCTCTCTCTCTCCCCCCCTGCTTGCAACTTCCCCTTTTTTCCCCCGTTTTTTTCTTAGTTCTGTTTCTCGACCATGAATGCGTACAAAAGTGGATGGTTGATGCAAATTGCTATGTCATGGATATATGCGACCTTTATTCCATTCTCCCTCGTGGCTTGTGGGTACTATATGCCATGGATAAGCTGATCTTCCCTCCCGTTTTTTGAATGGCTTGAAGAGCATCGAGCAGAGTTTTGCAGCCCGCCATGACTGTTCTCGTGGGGGTTTCGTATCATGCTACACACACACACACACACTCACATACACATGCACATACATTCTCTTGTCTATTGATGGGGAGCGCCACCTGCTGGAAACTGGGTCCAGCGTCCCGTGAACATCGTGAATAAGGCATCAACCGGGACCCCCCACACAGACTCTCTTCGAGTTGTGTATAGTGAACGTGACAAAACATACATACAACAGATTCACTACCTTACCCTTCCCGAACCACATTAATAAACGACCTACGGGCTGCGCACCTGTGCCCTCACGGTAAGTCAATGATCCTAATCCCAAGACTCAAACCCTAATCTACCCCTTTGTCCAAATCACCATTCTGTAACAACCCTAATCGAGCTAAATCCAAGCTAGATAACAGACCACCAACCAACACAAAAACAAAATATTCTTTCCCCGTGTCGTTCCAATTTGAACGGATGTCCCGAAGGACTCTTTCCATGTTCTAGCGGAAGACTGAGGGCATACTCAGACGGGGACCAGAAGTCTCAAAAAAATTTCGTGTGGATAGGCCTACTTGGGACATTCTCATTTTGCATATTTGGTGAGTGAAGGAGCCAGGGCTACAATGTGGGCCAGCGCCATCTCAGAAGACGGAGCGAAAGATGATTTTGGCGGGAAGCTCATTCATTTAGGTTGGTGTGTGCGCCCGCGAGAATCGCAGAAAAGCCACTAAACGATTCGTCATTTTGGCGGGAAGCTCGCTCATTTAGGGGTATGGCAAAGGAAATAACAAAGTAGAGCGTCGGAAAAGGTTGTTATTCAAAAAAAAAAAAAAAAAAAAAAAAAAAAAAAAAGGTCGGAAAAAAAAAAAAAAAAAGTTTGTTACCTTCGGTGTCATGTTGTCGTGCCACGTGGCCGTGGCGCGTGCTGAGCGAGCTCTTATCCAAGAGTGTAACGGCCACGTGGAGCTGCCACGTGGAATTATCGTATGATTTCGGTGGGAAGTCCAATCTTTTTTTAATTTTATTATTGTTATTTTATTTAAAGAAGGGCGATGGCCTTGAGGTAAATTCAATCTCGTGTCTAAGATTGCTCGCAAAAGGATGGAAAATTAAACGAAAAAACAAAGAAGAGAAGGGCGCACTCACACTCGGACTCTCGCGAATGTCTCTGGCCGCAATTACGCCTAGTTCTGGATGAATCTGACGGCAATCACGTCCAGAGTTGAGTAGGATGCGAGGGTTGTTAGACTCGGTGTCATACCGTCGTGCCACGTGCGTCTGTGTGATGTATGGACCACGTGAGTCTAAGGGCGTACCAACAGTCTGTAGAGTTTTCCATCTGGTGTGGGTGAGTGATAGTCTACTTTGATTTTGGATAAGGTAGATTATCATTTACAGTGTAATCAGTGAGGGGATTCTGCAGACTGTTGAGGGTTCAGCCTCCTGTTGAGTCGGTGAAACTCCGACGAAACAGTTTGTCACAGCCCCTCGTTTGTTGTCCTCTTCTCCCTCTCTGCCTACGGTTTACCGGGCAGTTCTATTTGACGATATATATATATAGCTCTGACAAACTGTTTCGTCGATGTTTCACCGACTCATATAGGTCGAGCGGCAGTGGTCGGGGCCGTTACTAGGCGGTCATGCTGTGCCTCTAGTGCCAGCGGCGTGTCTGGAGTGTATTTTTTGGCTGTGACACACCTCCGTTCCAATCCAATTGAACGGGTGTGTGCCTGTCTCTTATACACATCTAGATGTGTATAAGAGACAGTATATATCGTGTGGGATGTGTTATTTGCTTTGTGACAATTGGATTATCTTTCTTTCCCTGTCAGGTCTGGTTTCCTCCTCCTTTTCTTTGCCTCTTTGCCTTTTGGCTGCGTGCAAGTGGGTCCTTGTGACACACGGGGATGGGGCAGCCAGCGCTCAACCTGTCATCCACGTGGCTGGCCTTGTACGTAAGAGGTGATGGACAGGTGGGGCTTTCCTTCCTTCTTTTCCTTTCCTTGTTTTTCTTTTTTCCGCCTTCGCGCTCTGATTTACAGTTTGACAATATATATCGTATATGCATGTATATCGTTTACATATATATATGAAACTCCGACGAAACAGTTTGTCACAGCCCCTCGTTTGTTGTCCTCTTCTCCCTCTCTGCCTACGGTTTACCGGGCAGTTCTATTTGACGATATATATATATAGCCTCCTGTTGAGTCGGTGAAACTCCGACGAAACAGTTTGTCACAGCCCCTCGTTTGTTGTCCTCTTCTCTCTCTCTGCCTACGGTTTACCGGGCAGTTCTGTTTGTGACGATATATATATCAGCCTCCTGATGAGTCGGTGAAACTCCGACGAAACAGTTTGTCACAGCCCCTCGTTTGTTGTCCTCTTCTCCCTCTCTGCCTACGGTTTACCGGGCAGTTCTATTTGACGATATATATATATAGCTCTGACAAACTGTTTCGTCGATGTTTCACCGACTCATATAGGTCGAGCGGCAGTGGTCGGGGCCGTTACTAGGCGGTCATGCTGTGCCTCTAGTGCCAGCGGCGTGTCTGGAGTGTATTTTTTGGCTGTGACACACCTCCGTTCCAATCCAATTGAACGGGTGTGTGCGGCGCATCAGTGTTACAAAAGGGAGTGCATTTTGCAGAAGAGGATAGCAGAGCACTGATTGCTCTTCGAACTCATGGTCTGTTTATTGGCTGTTACATCTGTGGGTTCAGTTCAGCCACTTGGGAGGCGGGTGGGTCGACTGGGTTGGGGTGGTGGGTTGGATGGAGAGGTGGGTGGGTCGACTGGGTTGGGTGGGTTGTGAAGTCCTTCACGTGGGTTCAAACATGGTTCTTCATGCAAGCCCTTGCTCCACTGCTCCGCTAACCTAATAAGCTGTGGCAAGGGCATCATGAGCTAGAATACGGAAAGATACATGCCGTTCTTGCTCATGTCTTTTCTGTGTCTTCTTTGCAAAAGGGGTAGCTCCAAACAGCTACATAGTAATAAACCATCTGAGTCGACCAGAAGTCGAACTCCTGACCATATGTTTACTGTATCAACGGTTACATGTGTGTACCATTCAGTTCAGCCACATGTGCGTATCAATCAAATCAATCAAATCAATCAACCAACCAATCGACCAATCAATCAATCAAATCAATCAACCAACCAATCGACCAATCAAATCAATCAACCAACCAATCGACCAATCAATCAATCAAATCAATCAACCAACCAATCGACCAATCAATCAGTCAATCAATCAATCAATCAACTGATCAATCAACCAATCAACCAATCAATCAGTTAATCACGACACGAGAACTGAAAAGCAAATCCAAGAAAAGAAAGAAAAAGAAAAGAGACGAGAGTTAGTTATGACCTCCCTACGTACGGCGTACAGCGAGGTAATAACTAACTCTCGTTCCTTTTTTTTTCCGTCTTTTTGTTGGATTTGTTTTCAACTCTCATGTCGTGATTGACTGATTGACTGAAACGAGGCCGTTAGGGCGTCTCATTATGCACCATTGCCAGCAAGGCTACGGTGTTGCCTCACTCTACGTGTATCTGACCCAAATTACAGCAGGACATCGATGCACCTGATCGCAATCACGTCCAGAGCTCAGTAGAAGAATTCCTAGTGTGAAAATGCCTTAATACACTCACCCTCAACTGTATGCATGCGGGAATACTCACACGAGGACTCTTTTACTACCAAGCTCTGGACGTGATTGCAGTCAGATGCATCCAGGTTTGGCCGTAACTGCATTCAGATAGATTTAGGAAAGTGCTACCAAAGTCTGAGTATGCCCTCCTGAGTGAGTCAGGAGTACGTAACGTACTTCTATCGCAAACCATCAACAACTCCCCGCTCCCGCTTCCACTACACCTTCCGCTCCCGCTTCCGCTACACCTTCCGCTACACCTTCCGCTACACCTTCCGCTTCCGCTTCCGCTTCCGCTTCCGCTACACCTTCCGCTACATCTTCCGCTCCCGCTTCCGTTCCCGCTTCCGCTTCCGTTCCCGCTTCCGCTTCCGCTTCCGTGCGGTTTAGTTCAGTCACTACACCTTCCGCTTCCGCTTCCGCGCGGTTTACTGCACCTTCCGCTCCGGCTTCCGCTACACCTTCCGCTTCCGCTCCCGCTTCCTCGCGGTTTAGTTCAGTGTGCCTCGGCTGCCGCGGTCGCCGATTAGCGGCGAGGACATCCATCAAACGAGATTTCCCTACCGTCTTCACTCGAATAGAGCGCCCGGTCAGTACAGCTGTACTCGGGGCAGCTTTCTGTCCAGATATAGCTGCAATGACAGGGCATTGTATTTGGGCGAAGATGGTAGTTGATAGTCCCCACCACGATGATTCTATTGGATTCGCTGGAAATTCTTTCTTTCTCGACGGCCAGCAGCTCGACGCTCAGCTGGATTGGCTTAAACTAATTAATCAGTAGTTATTGGCGCATGATCATCGTCATCAGTTCGGTCACGAGTTAATTAGAGCAATTACTACTGTAGTAATTAGTCGGCTCTGTATATGCGTGCCCTGTGAACATTCAGTTAGGCATTGCCGTCAGTTAGGATTAACGCTCCGTGCCCTGTAGCATATGTCATTCTTTCCCACCCTCCCAGTTCCCTCTCTCTCTCTCTCTCTCTCTTTCCCTCTCTCTCTCTGTGTCTGTCTCTCTCTGTCTGTCTCTCTCTGTCTGTCTCTCTCTGTCTGTCTCTCTCTCTCTCTCTCTGTCTCTCTCCTGGGCTTGTTGTTCGTTGCCCAGTTCACAAAGCCACGCTGACCGGTCTGAGGGCATGTTGAACCGGTGAGCTTTTGTCGTCTTAATTGCCTTTTGTTGGCGCCCCCCCCCGCGTCCCTTCCCCCTGTCCTCCTCCCTCTGCGTCTTGCGCTTCCCCCTTCCTCTTCCCGTTATCTCCTTTCCCGCTCGTGCGTAACACCCATTCAGGAACGCCTTCCCGCCGCCCTCCCCCCCTCTCCCCCGCCCCCTTTCTCCCGCTTCCCACTCAACCCCTTTTCCTTCATCGCGCTCTACCCCTTTTCCTTCATCGCGCCCGCCGCCAACACCCCCCCCCTCCGCCCCCGCTGTCCTTCCGATTCCCTCCTCCCTCGCTCTCTCCCGCGTTTCTCTCTCCTCCCCCTTCTCGCTGCGGTTTCGCTCCCGCCGACAACTCTTCCTCCCTCCTGTTTCTCCTCCTCCTCCTCCTCCTCCTCCTCCCCCTCGTTCTCCTTCTCTTTCTTTCTCCTTTTCTCCTCGTCGACTCCGTTCCACCGTTTCTCCCTTCTTCTTTTTTCACGTGGATATTTGTAAATTTTATTTCTCCTTCGTTATGAAATTTGGTCCTCTTTGTTTTTTTTTTCCTTTTCCTTTTTTCTTTTGGTTCTGGATTTACCCGTCTCATCCTTTTTCCTTTTCCTTCCCCTTTCTTTCTATCCTTCCATTTTTTTTTTTCCCCACCTGTTTTTCAATGTTTTTAAATGTGGCCTTCCTAACCGTTTCTTCCCCCTTTCCCCCTCCCTCCAGGCCCCTCCCCTTTGTTTGACGCCACAACCTGTTCCTTAGAGCATGAGAAATCCAGCGGCCTAGATCAGTTGGGAAGGCATCCACGTGGCATTCAGGAGGTCTTGGGTTGAATACCCATCGGCCTCATGTAGCTTCCTGGGCAAGCTTGCTGCCCACCACCTAGAGATAGGCCCTTGGCCCCCCGAGCGGCATTGAACAGAGTCTGCATGATATAATAAAATGTCAACGGTCTTGAGGTATCATCATCGAGGTATCGTTCATCTGATCCCAATGTGATTAGAACTCGGGTCTGTATATAGACAATCAGGACATGGGTGTGTGCCAGTGAGCCACGCGGGATCGAGCCCAAATTACATCTTTTGCGGTGATTGATTGATTGATTGATTGATTGATTGATTGATTGTGATTGATTGATTGATTGATTGATTGGTTGATTGATTGGTTGATTGATTGATTGATTGATTGATTGATTAGTTGATTGGTTAATTGATTGATTGGTTGGTTGGTTGGTTGGTTGGTTGGTTGATAAGTTGATGGATGGATGAATGGATGGATGGAGGAATAACGGGACGGATGGATGGAAGCATGAATAGATTGATTGATTAATTGATTAATTACGTGGATACATTAGGCGATGTGGACAAATGCAATGTAATAGTGATGTAGTAGATTGAACTGAGCACCAATAGTTGGTGATGGTGGTTTGCTTGTACAACAAAAGTTTGTGAGGGATGGAGGGTTGGAGGCACAGAGGGATGGAGGGATGGATGGATGAATGGATTACATGAATTAGTTAAGCGATGACGACAAATGAAATATAATAATGACATAAAATAATTGAGTACCAATCAATAGTTGGTGATGGTGGTTTGCTTGTACATAGACGATGTATATGTTTCTCTCTGGAATTGTGTGGCAGCTCTGTTTGTCCTTCTTCCTCGTGCATCATTCATCAGAAAAGATAGAAATAATTCATCCGACAATTCGTTGCTTGTTTGAGTTTTTCTTCCCACATTCCAACAAATTTACCTCTCTCTCTCTGTGTTTTCGTGTTCGATGTCTGCTCTATGCTGCGTGCCTTTCCTTTCCTGCTTTCCTTCTTTTGTTCTTTTGTTCTTTTGTTCTTTTGTTCTTTTTTTGGCTCTGTGCTTGTCTTGTTTCAGGCTTGTAATATCTTAAATTTCAGCTTTCCTTCGCCTCTGCTCACTGCCCTCCCGGTCGCGCCTGTGCGGCTGTGCGGCTGTGTCGTCTATTTGGGCTGCAAAATTTTGACCTTCACTCGGCCATCGCCAAAAACAAAGCGCCGGAAACTATCTCCCTTACTCGACCACCTCCTCCTACCTCTGCTCTAATAATCAGCGCCGTTGATTCTGTGTCCTCGGCTATTTTTGGATCTGTTATTTTGCCCTCCCCTCTCTCCCCTCTCTCCTCTCTCTCTCCTCTCTCTCTCTCCTCTGTCTCCTCTCTCTCCTCTCTCTCCTCTCTCTCCTCCCCCCCAACCCCACCCCTCGGAGTCCCTCCCTCTCTTGTCAAGAGATCAACGATTGTTGGTGGGCAGGGCTCTTTTTTCCTTCCCCGTGGTTGTCACAGCCATCATGGAATCTGCAGGCGGCGCTGCTAATCCGACCACAATGGACGTTCATGCCGCTGATCCGGATCCTGATACGGCGGCGACCGTTGTGTCTGGCTCTGTTCCTCGCCAGCCGCATAGTAAAGTCCAGAAGATTGAGTCGCGGCGGGAGGATGCGGCGGTCGGGATCCCTCCGGACTGTCCTGGAGCCGCTGTCCCTGCTGTGGCTAATGGCTGTGGCAATGATGCCAACAACGGCGCGCAGCCCGACGAGGACACTGGTGTCCTCAGAGTCGAGTTCATATCGGACAAGGCAGTGCTCCCCAAAAGGTTCAAGAACTCGTCTGGTTATGACCTGTACACGCCCTATTCATACGTAATTCCACCAGGCGGAAGGTGTGAGGTGAAGACTGGCATCAAAGTTGCGGTTCCCAAAGGAACCTACGGCCACGTGGTTGGCCGGTCGAGACTGGCTTACAAGCACTTCATTACTCCATTTGAGGGCGTCATCGATGCCAACTTCAGAGGTGAAGTCATTGTCCTTCTTTTCAGTCATTCCAAGAAGGAGTACAAAATAAATGCAGGGGATCGAGTGGCGCAACTTGTTCTGGAAAGAATCGCCACGCCCGAAGTGAAACGAGTGGACAAGCTGAATGACACAGAGAGAGGTGCCGACGGATTCGGCTCAACTGGTCGGTGACCACGACGCGCTCCTTATCGCCTGTGCTAATCTTACACGCAATTAAACAAGTGCTTCTAGTGGTTCATTCCACGAAGGAAGGGGATAACACCAGCCTGCACTGAGTGAGCGATTCACCAGTGAAAGGAAAGTGCTTCAGGCCGTAGAAGTAAGTCCATGCAGTTCAGGCAATGCATGCACACAGTGTCACTTCTTGTCGGCTGTGTATATCCAATGTGGAGATTCTGAGCTGTGTCGAAGCAGAATACCGATGGATGCTCTGCCCAAAATAGGTTGATCCCCGCAAGTCACCAGCAGCTTTCACTTAACAGGGCACTGCAGGCAACCAGCATTGACGCCTCACTCACTCGTGAAATTCATCGTTGAGTGCTTGCTAGCTACATGTACAATACACACAGACTGGTTGCTGGTTACCTCCATGATCATACATTCAAACTCGCTGCAGTCGAAGGCTTCTTTCCGGAATCTCAGAGACAGAGGAAGATATGTGTGTGTGTG